AAGAGAGGTAATGGGCTTTCCAACAGCATCTGAAGCATTTGAAAGTCGAGAAACTCCAGAGCATAGGTTTGCCAAAATGATCGGTCAAAAAAATCACATTTTTGACCGCATTTCAACCAAAATGGAAATACCACAACATTTGCTGGATAGGTCATTTTCAGTCGCTTGGGAGCAATAATCCTTAGGAAACGGTGTGAAGCTAGCATAACGTCTTAGATTTGACAATAAGGCAGCAAAGACTGAAAGCCATCATCGCCGGCTTTCAAGCTTTCTTTTGCTAAAATCATTGGCCATAATGATTACTCACGTCTACTATAAGCAACTTTGGGATATGGAGGCACTGAGTTTCAAACCGCATTAAACCACTAAATTTTATGGCTCCCTTCGAATGCTCCGCGAATAGCAGGAGTCGGAATTTGAAGAAAAAATGATTTTTCAAGTGCATTGAGGACAAAATTGAGAAGAAGCTGTGCGGTGGATAAAGCAAGCAATGCTCCAAGTGGGTTATTAATATATCTCTCTGCGGAAGATCCTATCAAGTAAAATTCAGCTTTGCAATTGATTGCAATTCTGTAATTTTTTCGTCCAAGAAGCACAGCGTGGACTATGCAGCTTCGACCTGCTCATAAACTTCCTGAGACTAACAAACCTTAATTAGGAAAACTCCCCAACGTCGTTTAGCCCATCATATTGAGTCTAAAACTCCTTATTCTTTGAGGATTGGCACCGTCGTGTCTGTTAAATGACAGGAATTCCCTTGTTCTCGACAACAGCAACAAAGTTGCTACCTTTGTCACATGCAGAGATCTGGAAAGGCTATTCTCGATACATTAGCACGGTTCATGAAAACTTATCAAGGTGTCACATAAGCTGATAATCATATTTAAATGAAAGTGGCCAAAATATAGCCTAGAATGCTTGATGAATAAGATTCATAATTTTAGAGAGAAATTGCATCAGAAAGTTTTTGTTTTCGGCGGAAGGGAACCCCGAACGATCTATTTCAAAATAGCCTTCAAAGGATGGAGGGGTGAAAACTGGAAAGTTGAATTCTGCTTAGCATCTCCGGCACAAATTGCAGTTTTTGAATTTGGTGGTTTTTCCATCACATTAGATTAGACGTGCGTCTCACGCGAAGCATTGGCAAAAATCAAGTTAGATTAGAAGTTGCCCATCATGTGCAAAATGTTTCTAAGAAGGCATTAGGAAGTATAAAATGGAATCTTGCGAATTATAAATTGTGTTTAGCTCTAAAGTGCACGGTGAAACTGACTTCAGTCCGGAGGAGTCCATGATCCATATTCATAAATAAAATAGCTGCAAAACAACCTAATTCAAGTACTGTAATTTTGGAAGAGTTATTTACACAGTCTTTTTTTTTGCATTAACAACTTAGTCACGCAGTTTACCTCCAACCACGCCATTTACCAATTAATAATGGTTGAGTTGGTTTGATAGTGAGACCTTTTTTTCTTCTCCACAATCACTTCTAAACGTCGGTATATAACCAGCGCCAG